GAGGGGAGGGGAGGGGAGGAGAGGAGAGGAGAGGAGAGGAGAGGAGAGGAGAGGAGAAGAGAAGAAGGAGGAGGAGGAGGAGGAGAATTGGTGCAATTAACCAATAGTATGCCAAATAGTATGTAGTGTGCCCTGTGTTTAATAAACAGAGATGCTCCAGCATCAGTGGTTGCTAGGAATGTGGGAGAAGAGGGAAGTATAAAACTCCTGGGTCCTGCCCTGCAAATCTTTTTTTAAATATTTTTTTATTTATTTGTTTGTTTTTATATGGTGCAGAGGATCAAACCCAGTGCCTCACATGTACTAGGCAAGTGCTCTACCACTGAGCTACATCCCCAGCCCCTTGCCTGCAAATCTTACAGCCAGCCCCTTCTAGGACACAAAGGAGTGAAGTTACGGTCATTTCAGCCAAAAAGAGCCTCTTGGAGAAAGGAATGCATGAAGCTAAAGCTATTAGCCATAAGTACTCTACAGAGCCAGAGCCTGACTCAGGAGTCTGGTGCTGCTGAAAGGTGGTCACCATGGATACATCTGCCCACCCTACCCATCCTGTCTCTTATACTGGCAGCCCAAGTTAGGTTGCCAGACTCAGGGCACACTACAAGCTCCAGATGTGTCCACACAGCTATGCCTTTGCTCCAAGATGTCATTTCTGCCTAACATGTTTATCCCATTGTCCACCTGGTAAAGCTCTGTGGATTCTCTGCACCAGAACTCCTAAGTCACTTCCTCTTTGAAAACTTTGAAATCCCACATAGAAACAGGCTTTCTGGGCTGGGCTTGTGGCTCAGTGATAGGCCACTTGCCTAGCATGTGTGAGGCACTGGGTTTGATCCTCAGCACCACATAAAAATAAATGAATAAATAAAGTTATTATGTACACCTGCAACTAAAAAAAGAAAAAAGAAAAAGGAAGAAACAGGCCTTTCTGCTCTCCCTCTGAATACAACACCCCTAGCTCACCTGTATTGGAAGCTTCTGTGGGCATAGGATGGCAAGCAAACATCAGGACTTCCAAAGTAGCTAAAGAGATGCATAAAGGATATCATTTTCCAAAGCAAAAATCCACACACCAGGTACAATAGGCAGTCTGAGATGCAAATGATGTGTAATGCCAGGGTTCTAGCAAGTGACCCCTGCTCACTCCACATCAATGTCCAAATGTCTAAAGTGAAAATTCTGGACCCCCTCCCCACCCAAGAAGCTTGCCCTTCATGGATAATGCTCTGAATGTTGCCAATCCCCGGGACCCTGCCACAGAACCATCCCACTCACTGACTAGATATAGGCTGACCCTTTTGGGGCTTTTTTTTAACCCCCAGAAGCCTACACTGGCCCAGATTTCTCAAACCTGACCCAAGACAGTAAGCTTCCACATCTCCCCAAAGCTAATTCTTTTCTTTCTGCCAGTGACCACCTTAAAATGATACTTGGATTATGCAATCACTGCCCATCACTTAGAGAAAAAAGCCCCTGACTTTTTCCTCCTCTCCCTTCCTGACTTGTCAGCCACTCTCAGAAGACTGGATGCCCCACCACCTCCTCTACCTGGCTGAAGCCTGACCCATCTCTAAGCTTGGCCTGCCCCTTGGAACATGCATCTGCCTGCCCTGGACCCTTAGCCACCTAGCCAGGCAAACAATGCATCTCTGAGTACTGTCTGCCCTCCCATCCCCATAAACACCCCTGCTCACTGAAGCAACAGCAGCTCATCTGCCTAGTTGTCTAGCCCAAGGACTCCAGCTCCTGATCCCAAACACAAGAGTTGCTTTGGTCCACCAGGTTTGGAACCACCACTGGCTTGAGATACCACAGATTCCAAGAAGCTCTATGGAGTTTTCTTCACACCCCTAAGAAGTTGCAGGAAAACTGGTCCTAGTGAAAGAAGGACCAATGCAGGGTCAGTTCCCATGACCCGGTAAGAGAAACGGGCACGTGACTGGTACTCTGGCTGGACCTGAGCCACCTCCTTTTGGGCCTGACTTATAACAGGGAAGCCATAGCAAGAAAGAGGAGCAGGGAGGGTTACCACAATCCTGGGTCCTGGCTTTGTTCCAGTGGGCGGGGAGGAAGAGGGTGCTCCTTCCAGGTTGGCCTGGCTTCCAGGATTCCAGGGGCCCCATTTCCCTCAGCACAGTCCCCACTCCCCAGTCCCCACTCCCGGCAGCCTAGCTTTATGACTTCATTTGCTGAAGTCACCTGGCGACAATGCTGAGCGTTCTACCCCTCCAAGTCCAGGCCCAGCCCAACCAGACAACTCCCCACAGTGCAAATGAGGACAATGCCTGCTGGCCCGTGTGGGGAGGGGATGTAGAGGGCAGCGGCACCGGCCGCTCCTGGCACCATGGACGATGCCGCGGTCCTAAGGAAGAAGGGTTACATCGTGGGAATCAATCTAGGCAAGGGCTCCTATGCAAAAGTCAAATCTGCCTACTCTGAGCGCCTTAAGTTTAATGTGGCAGTCAAGATTATCGACCGCAAGAAAACACCCACTGACTTTGTGGAGAGATTCCTTCCTCGAGAGATGGACATCCTGGCAACTGTCAACCACCGCTCCATCATCAAGACATACGAGATCTTTGAGACCTCTGATGGGCGCATCTACATTGTCATGGAGCTTGGGGTCCAGGGTGACCTGCTCGAGTTCATCAAGTGCCGAGGGGCCCTGCATGAGGATGTAGCACGTAAAATGTTCCGCCAGCTCTCCTCAGCTGTCAAGTACTGCCATGACTTAGATGTTGTCCACAGAGACCTCAAGTGCGAGAACCTTCTCCTTGACAAGGACTTCAACATCAAGCTGTCTGACTTCGGCTTCTCCAAGCGCTGCCTGCGAGACGGGAGCGGGCGCATCGTCCTCAGCAAGACCTTCTGTGGGTCGGCTGCATATGCAGCCCCCGAGGTGCTGCAGGGAATCCCCTACCAGCCCAAGGTGTATGACATCTGGAGCCTGGGCGTGATCCTCTACATCATGGTCTGTGGCTCCATGCCCTACGATGATTCTGACATCAAAAAGATGCTGCGCATCCAGAAGGAGCACCGTGTGGACTTCCCTCGCTCCAAGAATCTGACAAGCGAATGCAAGGACCTCATCTACCGTATCCTGCAGCCAGATGTCAACCGACGGCTGCACATTGACGAGATTCTCAGCCACTCGTGGCTGCAGCCCCCCAAGCCCAAAGCCATGTCTTCTGCCTCCTTCAAGAGGGAGGGGGAGGGCAAGTACCGGGCTGAGTGTAAACTGGATACCCGGCCAGGTGCAAGGCCTGAGCACCGGCCTGACCACAAGTTGGGGGCCAAAACCCAACACCGACTGCTGGTGGTGCCTGAAAATGAGGACAGGATGGAGGAAAGGCTGGCTGAGACCTCCAGAGCTAAAGACCATCACATCGCCGGAGCTGAGGTTGGGAAGGCAAGCACCTAATGGTGGAGAGGGCCCTGGGGGGCGTAGCGTGTAGTTTGCGCTCACATAAACTAAGTAGGCAGGTAGGAGCTGAAGAAGGCACAGGTGCAAGGAACAAGTAAAATCCGTCAATTAAACCACTATTTTGATTACGTTCTATTAGCTTTCTTCCACTTAGTTGCAAAGACATTAATTACTGACCACCAAATAAACCACAAAGTGTATACAAGCATTAAGAGTGCCCAGTGAGGAGTCTTTTTCTCTAGGACTCAGCCGGCGCAGGGGTCTCCAGCATAGGGGACCAGAGGCCGGTGCTCAGGTACAGGCAGACTCATGGTGAGGCCTATGGCAAGAGGACTTCTGCCATGGTCTACCTACCAGGCCCACACTTGTCTGCCTCTGACCTGCCCCTGTCCCTGAGGCCTCCAGGGCTGAGCAGCTCCATGCCTCTCCTTCACTTCATGTAGTGCAGCCTATGCTGACCCTGTTATACTTCTTCTCACAACCCTTTGCTCAATGTCCTCCTCTAATCCCTGGGGTCATTTGAGATGGGCTCAGCTGCTCATGGGCCACCCTTATCATCATCCAGGGGCAGTCCAGATGAGGCAGTTTGCGGGCACCTTCCCCACTACTTGGGCCTGCAAGCTCTACGAAGCAGCTGTTGGTGATGGCACTGCCCAGTCTTTTATGTTTCCCGTTTGATAATCCATCACTCCCCAGAGCATGCTCCCTATATGCTAAGTGCTTGAGGGTCATCAGTACCTCCTGCCTCCCACTTCCTGGAGGCTCCCAGGGGCTAAAGTTCAACCTTCCTTCTTAGACAAAAGTACACAAGGCCCCACCTTTCTGACCACTAAGCATCCTAGCTTTAACTCCTGGAGGGTCCCAGGACAGCCACCCCAGGAGTTTGCAGAAACTCACTGTGGGAGAGTACAGGTTAGCAGAAACCCTAGTCAGGTATCAAATGGTAGATGTCAGTCTCTGGACTAGCCTCCAGAAAACATCAACAGTTAGGGAACAGGCAAGAGGACCAACACAGAAAGATTGGAGAAAATGGCTTGTACAGGTCATAAAGCAGGACTCTGTTCTGAGCTGTATCAGGTGTTCCCTAAGCCCCTTGAACAGTGGGAACTCTGGGTCCCCCAGAGGGTATAGCCTATGACCCCCACTTGAGTCCTGAAGACACTGGTTTGAAGCTAAACCATGACATGACTCCCTCAATTCCATGGATAATAGGTATATGAGCCCAGCTGGCCATCAATCACTTGAGGGTTGGGCACCCATGTCTCAGCCCATGGGTAAATGTTGGCCCATGGTACAGATGACACCTGTGAGTCTGCTTAGAACCTGACCCCATTCTTTTTTATACAGCAGCTCCAGTTGGGGTGAGGCTCGTGCCTCAATTGATTGGTAGGCAATGCCAAGAGCAGTGTGGGGAGAATACAGGCAGGAAGGTAGAGATGGTTCTGTTCTGAGCTGGAAGTCAAGTGCTGGGAGAGGGTGATGGCTGAGGCCACCATGAAAGTGCCTCATACAGGTAGGGTCTGACACACAGGACCTACATGGCTATATAAACAGAAAACCACACAGGCTCAGAGTTCCAGATGACCATGAGGGATATATTTCTGGAGGCTCCATCACTTCCTCAGAAAGACCTGTGAGCTCAGCTCAGAAGGTAGCTAAGGGAGTCACAGAAAACAATGGAGGAGCCACCCTACCCACAGCTTCCTCCCCTGGAGGCACCCTTGCCTCTAATCCTGAAGTCTTAAGATAGCACAGCTGGCCCAAGGAGGTCCCAGGGCCCACTCAAGGAGCAGGGCAGAAGGGCAGCCTAGCCAGAATGTGCCAGATGTTCTTTAATGACATAGAAACTTTCAGCAAGGCCCCAAGGGACAGCATGGATGCTGTACTCCAAAGGGAGAGGGCATGTGTCTCATGCTGGCCTGGCTGAGGCACAGCATCTTTCATCTGTGATTCCTGTGATGATCAAATGCCTCCGGTCTGTGCCTGAACTTCCAGATGGAGTCCTCTGCTGGGTGGACAGCTGTCCTGAAGGTTCCACACAATGTCCAAGGGCCCAGCACAGGCCTGGCTCTAAAAGAAGTCTGAGGCTTTGCGCCGAGCAGGGAGCTGTAGTAAGTTGTCTGTGATGGAGGCTGGGTCCTGTGTGAGGGGTGTGCGTGTGGCAGAACCAGGGGCTGGTGTGCTCGTGGGGGTCTGCGGCCCACCAGCTGGAGTCTTGAGGTGGGTTGAGCGTGCTGGGGATGGTGTGTAGCTGGCCCGCAGGGCTCGGTCTGTATACTTGCTGGCTGTCCTGCTCACAAGGCGTTGCAGGGCTGGGGACATGGCTGGGCTCAGGCCTTTGGGAGTGAGGCTGGGATGAAGGGATTAGGGAGAGAAGTAGGGTTAGTTATCAGAGTAAGGCCTCCCTCAGCCCCTAAGGAAAAGCCTTGTCAGAGGTATGGTCATTCTGAACTGAGGAAGACAACACTGGGTGGCTTAGCACACAGCAATCCGACTGAACTTGAGTTTAACTAATGCTATTGCCTTTGGCTGTGAGGCTGGGTAGACTACAGACCTCTGAAAGTTGGAGTTCCCACCTTTCTCCAAGAGGAATGATAATAACACTGTCTCCACAGGACTGATAGGAATTCATAATGGGACAAATTGCCTAAAGGTGACTCTTAAGGACAGGTCAAGGAGATGTGGAGGAAAGAACATGGAAAGAGTCCTGTAGCCTGGTCCACATGCAACCATAGCAGAGGAGCAGCTACAGCACAAACTGCAGAACCCCATGGATCTGCCCTGGATTCTACCCTATAAGCCATACATCCACATGGCTGAGTGTGAGCAGAGCAGGGACAAGGCAGACACTAGTTCATCCCCACCCATTACCCCTTCCCAGGACCTAGTTGCCCCTCACCTGGCCAGGTTCTCTGTCACTCTCCGCAAGGCTTCTTGCTTCTTAGCTCGATTCTTGGCAGCAGCCTCATTGGCCATCTTCAGGCCCAGCCGCTCCCTACGGCCAGGCTCCAAGATCTACAAGGTAGCAGGCATGTGGGTGGCCTGTGTGGGACCTGTCACCAAGCCAGGCAATCCCTCACCTGGAAGAACAGCTGCTGTGGATGCCAATCTTTTTTCCCTGGCTGCCATAATCCCAGCAACCCTTCATTGCCACCCTCCCCCATAGCCTATCAAAAGCCCCTACCCATCCTGTCATACCTGTGCATTCCCCAGGGCCCCCCTCCTTGCCTGGATTCAACAGGTTCTCAAGGCCAGGACTGCCAAGGTATAAACTTCTGACAAGCCTTCAGGGAAAAAAGTGTCCTGTTTTCATTTTTTTCCAATTATTAGTGTGACAATCTTTTTGTCTTTATTACCCTTCTGTATTTCTTTCAAGAACTCTTCATATGTGAATGTGGCCCCTTTTTCTATCCAAGTGTTTATCTTCTTTTTAGTTGTCTATTGTTGTTACTTACAGAACTTTACCTATCAATTAAATTAAGCTACACCAAATTTATTTTTTAATTATTTGCTTTTGCTTTTTTAAATGACATTTTCTGCTATACCAAAGTTTATCATTTTCATATATAGTATCCCCTCTTACCCTCAGGTGATGTTCCAAGACCCTCAAAAGACTCTTGAAAACTGAACTATATATTATTTTTTCCTATACAGACCTATAATAAAACTTAATTTACAAATTAGGGGTTGTGCCTGGCATGGTGGATCACGCCTGTAATTCCAGTGGCTCAGGGAGGCTGAGACAGGAAGATCCCAAGTTCAAGCTCTGCCTCAGCAATTTAGCAAGGCCTAAGCAACTTAGTGGGATCCTGTCTCAAAATGAAAAATAAAAAAGGGCTGGGGATATAGCTCAATGGTAAATTGTCCCTGGGTTCAATCTCCAGTACCAAAACAAACAAATTAGAGGTTAGGGGATATATCAGTGGTACAGCTCATGCTTAGCATGCTTCGAGACCCTGGGTTGAATCCCTAGCAACACACACAAACACACACACACACAATTAGGCATAATAAGAGAAAAACAACAAGATAAGTAGAATATTATCATAAAATGACTTAAAACTTATGAACTGTTGCTGGATGTAGTGACATATGCTGATGATCCCAGTGACTTGGGAAGCTGAAACAGAAGATCACAATTTGAAGCCAGCCTCAGCAACTTTGTGAGGCCCTGTCTCAAAATAAAAAATAAAAAGGGCTTGGAATATAGTTCAGTGGTAGAAAGCCCCTGGATTCAATCCCTAGCACCAAAACAAAACAAACTTATAAACACTTATTTCTCTAATTTCCCATTTAATACTTTCAAGCTGCAGTTGACCACAAGAAACCTTGGAAAGCAAAAACATGGATAACAGGGGACTGTTGTAGCTATTACTTAGTGAAATTTTTTCCTTTTATGTTTAGAAAGTTCCTGAGATAAAACTAAATGTTCATGTAGCTTGGGAGGCTTGAGGGAGGAGCATTGTAAGTACAAAGCCAGCCTCAGCAACTTCGTGAAGCCTTAAGCAACTCAGCAAGAACCCTGTTTCTAATACAAAAAAAAAAAAAAAAAAAGGCTGGGGATGTAGCTCAGTGTTTAAGTGCCCCTGAGTTCAATCCCTGATACCAAAACAACAACAACAAAATATTCACCACTATTTTTATTCTAGTTGTTTAATGGTGATTATTTTTACCTTTAACCTTTTTATCTTTCTGCAAGTTATTTTGCTATATGTATTAAGGACCTAGTTCACTTTATTTCTAAATATTTTGTTATTCAGCATAATTTGAATTGCCATCTTTATAATACCTCCAGTTCTTACTTGAACTGTGGATGGTTTCAGTGCTATTTTTCCTTTGCTATTGGCCATGGGCTCTTGGTCCCATGGTACAATTCTTACCTGCCCCCTATGTGTTGAGAGCCACAGCCAAAGGGGCCCCAGCAAACTTCCAGCTGCCAGCAAGCTTCAGACTGCCCCAGCAACATCTAGCTGATTGGCTCCTCTGCGGTGATGTTCATTGGGCTGTTTCCCTGCCCTTCAGACT